TGATGATGATGGTGGTGATGAGGATGACGATGACGATGAAGATGAAGATGAAGATGATGATGATGATGGTGATGGTGATGATGATGATGATGATGATGGCGATGGCGATGGCGATGGCGATGGTGATGGTGACGACGACGACCATGGTTCCAATGGAGATGGCGATGGTGAAGACAAGGATGACTGATGATGACATATGATGACGATGGTAGAGGCGATGATGCCGTCCGTGTTGATAGCGATGATGACGAGGATGCTGCTGCTGCTGCTGCTGCTGCTGCTGCTGCTGGTGCTGGTGGTCAGTGGCAAACACAAACAACACTTCCCTGCAACCGGAGATTTAGTCCACACAACATCAGCAAGAGCATGCGCCCCTTCCTGACTGCAAAGCCTTCTGAGGGGGCCTGGTCTTCTTCGCCTTGCCCTTGGAGCCCTTTTTGCCGGAGCCCTTCGCCTTGCCCTTGCTTGGACAGTTGCAGACAATGAGCATTCACTAAACCTTGGCAGTGGCCTGCGAGTCTGCTGAGCGCCGGTGCTGTGCTTGGGCAGGAGGCCCTGCACTCTGTTCACGAGCAAGACCCAAGAGGTGAGTCAGGCACCCATCCACTGCAATTGAAGGTCACTGCCTTCTTCCCTTGTGGCGTTTCCACCTTTGCCCATGTCCTGCGGAAAAGATGCACAACTCGGCATGCTTGGGACTTCAGCTAGCTTGCTTTCTGGTGCAGGGTCCTTGCTCTTCCCTTTGGCCTTGCCTTTGCCTTTGCCTTTGGTCTGGTGCTGGTCGCCTTTGCCTTGGCTTCTCGCGGTGGCGTCTCCTGCCAATTGTTTGGTCGTAGGATTCGAGAGCTTTTGTCGAATTTTGTGGAAGTTGGGCGGGATCAAACTAGCTTTGGCAAAGCTGGTGATCTCCTTTAGGAGCCAGCTGCGTCTCATCTGCCTGAGACGAAACGAACGAGGATCCTGTAACAACTATCTCTGGGCCCTCACTTGTCGAAGCCTACGACTAGGGCCACTACAGCTGCAGCCCAGTTTTTGACCTGCATTGCGGAAGTGAGCAACACGTATGTCTAATCTGCTCTTCCTGGCCTGAGCATCGACACTCGGCTGGACCTTGACATCAAAAAAATCATTTAAACACCTAGGACCTGGAGACCTCACACATCTCAAGCACCGCACCCGTGCGAGGTGTCCAGTTCCACATTCAGCAGCAGCCTCACGCAAATGGAACGGGCGGGCAGGCCATGCCGGTGCTCTCAGCACACATCCCCACTCATCTCTGGCTTTCTGCTCTATTGCCGGAGAGCTCTTCCTGACCTGAAGTGCATCTGTATCCTCAACCGCGGTCCTTCAATTTGCCATCTTCCTTCGCCTTGAGGACGATGCTCAACAAGTCCTGTGCTGCATGGGCCATAAGGTCGCTGTTCCGATTAGATAAATTTCAACATATTTCAACGCAACTCAGCTGCTTCATTAGGGAGCTGATCTTCAGCTTTTTTGGGACAAGACACTCTGATTTTTTTCGGTACAATTAGGCAGATGCACACTCTCACTCCGGGTCCCCTTGAACTCCTGAGAAGCTTCTGGCCCGTGGGAGTGGCTGATAAGCCGCTCAGGATGCATGATTATCATTGTTGTTATTATTATAACTACTGTTGCTGTTGCTTTGACTACTGTCGATTATTGCTATTATGATTGTTGTCGCCATCACCATCACCATCCCCATCACCGTCATCATCATCATCATCCTCATCGTCATGGGTAGTAGTGGTAGCAGTTGTAGCAGTAGTAGTAGTAGTAGTAGTAGCAGCAGCAGCAGCAGTAGTGGCAGCAATGGTAGTAGTGGCAGTGGTGGTGGTGGTGGTGGTGGTGGCGGCGGTGGCGGCGGTGGTGGTGGTGGTGGCGGCGGTGGTGGTGGTGGTGCTGGTGGTGGTGGTGGTGGTAGTAGTTAGTAGTAGTGGTAGTAGTA